TCAATCTTGCACAGTATATATGTGATTATATAAAATGAAAATGAAAATGAATAAAATATTTTTTTAAAAAATAATAATAATAATAAATATAAAACAAGGCTCTCTACAAGTTGTCCCTTTGGTGTCTCCACAGAAAGCCTTTTTCAGAAAAGAAATGGTGACAAAGCCAGACTGGTTAACGTACAGTAACATTTTATATTTCAAAGCTGATTAACAAATGCATTGGGGAAAGCAGGGAGTGATTTAATGTGATTCAATCAAACAAATCCTCGGGTTACAAATGTAATTGGCAGGCTCTATGACATTCATAACTCAAGGGTTACCTGTATAATAAGAGTGAGGGAGGGTCTCAAGGAAGTCCTGCCTTAGCACATGGCCACCACAGGTGCCTCCCCACATAAGTCCCATACCACGCTCACCATGGCCATGCCCATTCTGACCATGGCCACCATGACCACTCCACCGGGTTTGCCCTACCCCAGCCCTCCAAGATCAAACACAAACCTGATGCAGTCCTCAATGAAATCAAGTTTGACACCCCTGTCCTAGGACCACAAAAGATAGGGACTTTTTTTTTCCAAAACTGAAGTAAGGTCTTCCTAAGCAATGGTTCCAAAGCAGAGATAAAGAGATAGATATAGTGGATCTAAAAACCTTCAATAACATTTCACAATAATTCCAAGTTCCTACAACCGTTAGGACCAATATATTTAGACAATACATAGCTTAAATGAATTTAATCCATTTGATATAATAGAAATCCCTTCCTTTGAGGGGTGAAGCTTGGAGTTGAATTAATTTTCCCAGCACATTTTATGCTGGTTATTATAAAGCAGTAAGACCAAGTAAGAAAAAGAAAAAATAATTTTAAAAACCAGACTTATCAGTTGATATATTATGAAGTAAATTCAAGTCGAAAGAAGGAAATCAAAGTGAGCAATCTAGCACTTTCTGATATTTTACATCGTAGCTCCCATAATCTCTTATATTAATCATTCTGCCTAATCATTTACCTTATAGTACTGTAAAGTAGTCCAAAACAATTTCTGTAAATTACATATTCACATTTCTAAAACTGAGCATGTTTTCTTTGAAACATAATTGTTTTGTCTTCCGCAATTAAAGCAATCCAAGACATGCAGATTTGGCAAAGGTATTTTTATAATGGATGAGAATTGTTTCTTTTTTGTTTTTTCAAAGAAGATGAAACCTCTTATTAATTTTTGACAGAGCTTCTGTTGTCTCTTTTATATTAAACAATTATCTAATCAGGATAAGTAATTTCCATAATAAAATACCAAGTATTTTATATTCTTTCCCACTATGATTATTTTCAAAAGTACCACAATAGGAATTTTCCATAATAAATAATACTCTTAATCACTCAAACTGATTAATTTGGAAGAAAACTTAAAAAGTGATTCCAGAACAGATCTCATTCTGGTAAACTGGTTTTCCCATTCCTCCCCCCACCCCAACCCCATCAGTCTAATTCCTAAAATCCTTGCTTATTAACTTTAATTTTATTTGAAAACAAGAACTGAATCCAAGTCAAATAAGTCAATTCACATGAAATGCATCAAGAAAATCTCTACTGTTACTTACCATTAGAAGTTGTGCTGGAGGCCACAGCTCTCTCACTGACCTCTGATCGAGTGGGGTATTTTGCTATGGGATTTTCAATCTTTTTCTTCTCACTTGTGGCAGAGCTATGAGATTGAGCTTCCATGATGACTTCTCATTACTTCAGTCCTCTTCACACAAATATCTGCATTAACAAACACAGCTTTAAGATTTCCTTCAAAAAGCAGAAAAAGATTAGGAAAAAAGATGCTGAGCTTGTTAGCTGGAAAGCTGACAGACCAAGTTTGAAACCCAAGCACCGCATAATGGAGTTATCTCCATTATTTGCCCTGCTCCTGTCCACCTAACAGTTCGAAATCATGCAAATGGGTGTATATAAATAGGTACCACTTCAGTGGGAAGATTCCATACACCTCAGCATATAGTCAGTCTGGCCAATTGACCACAGAAGTATCTTTGGACAACCCTAGGCCTCTCAGCTAGGAAACAGAAATGAGCTGCATCCCTTAAAGCTGGACATGACTGGAAAGGGGAAACCTTGACCTTTACTGATTTTTTATTTCTTTACATTCATGTCATGTCATTGACTTAACATTTATATTTTTGTAAATAATATATAACAAATATTGAATATCTTTAACATACAGTATTTGCATAAGAATATTTTGAAAAGTTATCTTTCTTGCACTGTCCCAAGATTCCAAACCTAGCAACTGAAGACCAATATTTTAAGCATATAAGATTAGACAGAAGTTGAAATATAAGTATCAAGCTCTATTGTTCATGTTTCCACAGCTGTTAACAACCACAGGTCTTCCCAATGCCATCTTTTAGTTTACTGCTTTTACTTAATTATATCTGTATTATCTATATTATTATCTCTTTCACATGGGAACAATTCACTACTTCTCTTGCTGGAAGACTACCATAAATTCATAAAATTCTTGGGAATATTTATGTCCTTGGTATCATCTCCATTCCTTACATATTCTGAAAACCTTCGAGTTGAATACATCTCTTCTGGGGACTGTACAACTTTAATAAGTCTATCAACCTGCTTAACTCTTCTTTTCCTGTCTCTTTTTCACTCCTTTCCCATTCTAGCTTATCTTTACTTTCTGTCTCCTGCTCTTCTTCCTCTTAATTAGTCAACCACCTTTCATCTTGATGATATTTTAACATCTCTGTAATGATATTAGCTCAAATATCTGGGCCTGTCTCCATTTCTGTTTTTGTTTAACCATAGGCCTTAGGTGGATACTTTTCTCTACAAAGTAGTAATTCTTCTAAGAGAAAATTTGTCTTTTCTGCCATTTCCATGTCTATTAGCTTGGCATAGGCTCTGGTAAGAAGTCTGGTTTCTATAGCCAATTCCTTGTCACAGATTCTTTAAAATATACTGGTTAGGCTAGTACACAATGCTCACCACTATTCCACTGATCCACAGGCTAGTACTCATTGCTACTACACCTATTCACTCTAGAAGGGTTCAAATCACTAGGTCTAGCTGGATTACATTGCAGGGTTCTGAAGGAACTATAATCATGATCTCAGAACCATTAAACCATCCCTTTCAGAGATCATGGAGCATCAGAGAACTACCAGAGGACTGGAAAAAAGATAGGATAGTTTCCATCTTCAAAAATGGAAAAACATGGATCTAGGAAACTACAGACATATCAGCATGAAATCAATACCTGGGAAAATCCCAGAAAAGATAATCAACAACAAATTGTCAAAAACAAACCATGCCAAATAAATTTTATTGCATTCTTTGTCAAAGTGACTAAATTAGTGGACCCATGAAATGTTGTGGACATAATTTACTTGGGCTTCAATAGGCTTTGATGAAGTAGATAACTACTACTACTTAATAAGTTAGAAAAAGTGAGAAATAGACAGCATCACCACCAGATGAATTAATAACTGGCTGACAAATCACACTCAATGTATAATCCTTAATGGAACCTCATTTACATGGAAAGAAGTATGAAGCGGGGTAACCCAAGATTTTGTCTTAATCCCAGTACTCTTCAATATCTTTATCAATTATTTAGATAAGGATAAACAGGGAACCTATCAATGACACCAAACTGACAGGAATAGTCAATACTCCAGAGGATAGGTTCAAGGTCCAGAGGGATCTTGACAATTTTGAGCATTGGGCCCTATGTAACAAAATGAAATTCAATAGTGAAAAAAATCAGGTTTTACACAGGCAAGAAAAAACAATTGCACAGCTATAGAATAGATAGTACCTGGCTCAATAGCAATAATTGCAAGAGGGATCTAGGAATCCTAATGGACAGCCACTTTAAATATGAGCCAGCAGTCTGCTACAGCCATCAAAAAAGTCAATGCTGTCTTAGGCTATATTGACAGAGGGATAAACTCAAGATCATGTGAAGCATTGATTCCATTTGTTAATGCCTTGGTAAAACTACACCAAACTCTCTCAGCATAGCTTTGTTTTGCATATTATAAAGAGGACTTAAAAGGGGCAGGACAACACAAGAACAGATGTAGGCCATTTTCTAGGCAACCTGCCCTCTCCCATATGGATATAAGGATATCCAATTTCTTGAGTTACCATCTTTAATACTATATGTAAAATATATTTAAATCAAAAGTTGTTTCCAAATGATGTAGAAGAAATTAAAACTTACAAAAGAAGCTTTATATGTACACACATTCACACCACCCAAAAGCCATCTGTAAATAATTGCTAAGGGATTGGGCAGAAAGCCAACTCATTCCTTCTATTTTCGGTAAACTGAAGCTAAACTGATCATCCATTTGACTCTCAATCCAAATATTTATACTTTGACATTTAGATCAGTCTAACCAAACCACAAAGAATTGTATCTTTACGGATGATCATGTAAACTGTTCATTTTGTTTGTTTTAGAAATGTAAAGCTAAAAAGGATTATTGAAATATGACACCAGGAGGAGAAAAATAGAAAGAGAGGAAAGAGACAATGAGGAGACTGATCACCATTTAACTGTAAAACCATTCAACAGACCTACAATGTAATATATGGTACAGCAATATATTTCTATCCTAGTTTGACTCTTCTATTTTTTTGGATCTTTCAATAGTTTCAGAGGTGTGTGGTATATAAATTAACAACCGGTTCGTCCAGCATTGAAAATATGAGAGACCACACCCATTTCGCTCACATGGCATCTGCGTATGCATGTGTCCTTCCGCACATGTGCTTCACACACACATGTGCCATCAACACATTCATGCAGATTCAAAAACACAGCTAAATAGGACGGCATAGCACCAGGGTGGGTGGGCAGCAGGTCGAAACTATAAGTTCACTCAAACCCATCCGAACCAGCAGCAGTCTACAACTGAATTGTTCTGTTATTCACATAACCCACTAGTTTCCAAGAAAACTAACCCAATTTGCACATCTGTGTAATGACAGCCTGGATTATACAAAAATAATCCAGTAAAGAATACATGTTTTCTGGACTGTAATTTTGTCCAACAGCTGACAATAGGTGCTAGCAGGTTTTGTGTTTTGTAATCAAGAATTATTTTCTATTCAGCTTAGAATAAATATAGAAATGAGAACCTACAGTATATTCACTTTAGCTATTTAAGTATTGGGGGTGGGGGGAGGACATTAGCAGTCCACAGCAATTACAAAATGAAACAGGTTAGTGCTAGAAGTGATCTCTAATACATTAGGGGAGCTACAATCTGTTTTAATAAATATTTGTTATCAATAAATCAATTTAATATACAAATGTTAAATGCTTTGGAGATAATTTAAAAAGTGTTGTTTTTGCATTCAGAACACATAAGAAGCTGTCACACTACAAGAATTTACAGCATTTTATTTTATTTGCTAAATGCTATTTCTTCAAAAAAATATTTCTAAAATTAGTTGTTCAGAACTGATTTGATATTTTTTTAATATATTTTTATTCTTTTTAAACAAAACAACACATACAAAACAAAGCAAGAGAGGAAAGAAGAACAACTTTCCTCCATTTCATCAAGCATGTCGTTTGAAGATGTTTTACATAACTTTGTGTACCTTTTGCTATATGCAATGTTTTTACTTGGAGTCATTGTTTGTTTATATCTTAAAAACAGCTATTATTATGTGGCAGTTTTAGAGATTATTCACAGGTAATGTTATAGGGGTACTTTTCCACCATTGAAACATTTCCTATACTGTAGCTAGAAACTTAAATTAATTAGTTATGCTATAAAAAGAAAAATAGTAAAATAGTAAAAAGTAAAACTATTTTAAATTTATTGGATTTTTTTCTGCCAGTAAATTACATTGGAATGAATGCATTTAAGCATCTGTATTTATTTTAAAGTAACTTTGAAGTAACTTTAACTTCAATACAAAAAAAATCAATACTAAAATTATTTTGCAAATTAAAGAAAGTCTTAGCACATTAGACTACCTGTATAGTACTTAATATTTTTCATCTTTTATCTTAATTTGTAGCTTACTTAGAAGTCAGCACTATGTGGTTCAAAGTAAGAGTAAGAGTCTACACAGCCACAAACCTTTTCAAGTTATTTTAAATCACCAAACAAAATATTAAAGGGTGGGAATACTTTTTTGTCTTCTTTTGTCCTCATTTAATCTATCTGGAAGCGGATGGAAGAAAAAGATGATTTTTTTGGCATTTCCATGGTTCTACTACCTGAATTATAAGTATTATTTATATGGCTGCCCATCTTGCCTTGTTGGTTCTGGACACCTAGCAGAAGGTGTGTGTGTGTGTGTGTGTGTGTGTGTGTGTGTGTGTGTGTGTGTGTGTGTGTGTGTAGCTATGTGTTTCTCTGTGTGTGCTTCTGTGCCTGTGTGTATGTTCCTATATCTTTGTGATAATTCTGTGCATTGCTGCTTTATAATTTCAAATAAAAGGAAATACCAACTAAGATCACTAGAAGATATTATTTGGGTGGGGGACGGAGATGGTGGCATCCTTGTATCCAGATAATATTTGAATGATAACTTTGTCCAAATTTATTACTGAAAAGTAGCAAAAAAGTACTTGCTTCGTAATTATCATATAATTTTGTTATTTCAATGATTATAAAATATTTGAATAACAATAAAGATGAAGATAAGAAATGGCTAGAGAACAGTAAGTTTTATGTGGCCATTTTTCCTTTCCTGGTATACAAGAACTTTTCAA